GGGTGCAAGCTCTTGGCACAGACAGATTATTTACACAGACATAATCAAGTAGCAAATATAATATACCAAGGGCTTGCAAAGAAACACAAACTGGTAGACATCCACAAACCATACTACAAATACATTTCACAGACAGTATTGGAAAACAACACGCACAAAATGTACTACGACAGAGCCATAATCACAGATAAAACAATTTACCACAACAGACCAGACATCACACTTATTGACAAACACAATAAAATCACATACATTATAGACATAGCCATTCCAAACACTCACAATGTACAAAACACATGCACTGAAAAAATTAGCAAGTACACAGAACTCGCCAAGGAAATAAAGCATCTGTGGAGGATGGATAGGGTGTTTATTGTACCTGTCATTCTCTCCTGTACAGGTGTGATACCACACACACTACACAAAAGCCTCGGAACATTACAATTGAGTAGAAATACATACATCACACTACAGAAGGCCACTATATTGAATACATGCCACATTGTTAGGAAATTTCTGAATACAGACACACACACTGACACACTTATTTAATTTTAGTTTTATTTTGGTTGCTATGCCTTGATTTTGGTCCAGCATAGTACACAGCCACCAGTATGAATCGAGTATAACTCACAAAAATAATCATAATAAACATATCATAACTAATGCATACCTCTATGTAAGCAAATTTGATGATAAATTTATGATTTTGTTTAAAAATTTTATGGTATTAGTTTCAATATTTAAAATTTTGTAATGTTAATAAGTGTTAATTTTGAAAAAAATGGAAAAATTTTTATTTCATTAATTATTTACTATGTGAAAATTTTTCTGAGTAGTAACAGATAGAATTTGATATTACGTTTAGAGAATTTGATAATTTCTCTGTATGAATGAAAGAAGTTTGAAGTTGTGATATGTATTAACATTTAAAATTAATTTAGATTTCATTTAATAGCTTCTAATCTAAACAATTAATAGTATATTACTTAATATTAGTATTAATTAATAATATATAAATATATGCATAGAAAGAGGCTATTATATATACAATTATATAAGAAACTGTAATTATAAAAGCAAATGAAAAACAGTTATTTATTTATATTTAATTGATTATCATGATTCTTCGTGGTGATAAGTATGATTCATTATCCTTCTTTTCTTTACTAGTAGTTAAGAACAGATGAATTAGCAGTGCCAAAGATATAAAATATTCTGATTATGGTATAAAATTATAAAATAGATTCATCTGAATCATTTTAACAATTCATTGTATCTTTTAACATAAAAAAAATTGTAAATCTGTTTATACTATAGTTTTTGTTTGATAAATGTTAAAAGAGCAAAGTTTCAAATACAAATTAAATTTTAAAACTATTTTTCTGTAATAAAAATTTTTAATTGAACTTTTATTAGTTTCTCTTAAATTTCAATTATTTTATATACTGAGTTATTATATGAAGATACTTTAATAGCTATGATGTTATTACTATTTTAAATTAGCTATATACATTAGGCTGATTGTAGAGACAAGGTCTTTGCTAAATTCAATAGCTAAATGCTGATTGCATCTAGCCATTGGCTGTTTATGCTGCAATTTAAAGTTTATTGCTAAAACATGAGTTGATGACCTTTGAACATGGTCTACATGAACTTCAGCCATTATGTTTGCCACTGTTACTCCCAGCTTTTAGATGTTGGTGAATCAATCTGGTGATCACTTTGTTGTTTCATAAAAATGTTGGAGAATATGAATGTAGAAAAGTTTGGAGCTTTTCACCAGAGAAGGGAAGTGTATTTTTGTCAAATTAATTAGGAACTAACTAGCCACCATTGAAGAAAAATGATAGTTAAGTATAATTTATAAATCAGAAACAGATCATATATTATATTTTATTACATACAAAATTTATAAAAAGAATTTGTAAATTGGAAACAATTGATTATTGTCTTAATTTTGTTTTTATTCATATTTTGCTCATACAAAAGGAAGCAGTTCATGCTTGCTTTAAATAATAAAACTTGTGATTTAATCAGTGATTATTCAGGTTGATTTTGTTATTGATATTTTATAAATACTGGACTTCTGTTGTTTTTCTCTATACAGTAGAACCTCCATTATCTGGATTTTCGATTATCCGGATTGTTCAAAATAAACAAAAATTTTACGAATTTGCTGATTTGCACTTGGCGAATTACGACACTGTTTATGTACGTGATGGAATGCATAACTTTTTTTGTTTCAACAACGTCTCACCCAGCACAGTGGTCGTAAACTCTTAAATATATTTT